CTCTCTCTCTCTTTCTGTCTTTCCTCAAAGGAGCAGCACAGCCAGTCAGAGAACCCAGGCGCTGGGCTGGCCTGGCTGCACAACCTGGCCACCTGATGGCACCAGTCTGGGCCTCGGTTTCCTCACTTGGGCCGTGGGAGTAACAATAGCACCCACCTTGGGGTTGTGAGTCTCAGTGGGTGAACGACACCAGCTCTGAGAGCAGGGCGTGGCACTTGGAGGGATTATGTTCACTGTGACTGTTGTCGTCACCAAAGCAGGGGGACGTGGGAGGGAAGGAACCAGGAGGAGGGGACACATGGGCCAGAAGCTGATGGTGGGAAGGGATTCTCCAGACTCGGGGGAGGAGGGTGGAAGGGCATCCTGGGCAGAGGGAACGTCCACTCCCGTCCTGGTGCTCAGGTCTCGACCCTGCCCACCCCACAGTCTCGGGAGATGGAGCTGTGGCTGAAGCTCACACCCTGCCCTCTGGAGGGCCTAGCTGAGCATTAGTGGGGGGCTGCTGCCTGGGAAGCTTACCCTCCCCACCACCACCCCCCGAGATCTCCTGTGTCTGCTTCCACATGCTGAGACCCTGCAGGAGCTCAGGAGCAAGGAGAGATGCCCAGAGAGGCTGAGTGACTTGGCCAGAGCCACACAGCACACGGGCGCTGGACACTCCTACCTGACTGACCCGCTGTTCTTGGCTGCAGCTGGGCTGGGCAGGGACAGGAAGGGCCCTTCCCCGCCGAGCCAGACAGAGGCCATTGTGTGCAGTGAAACCCGAACCCAGGCCCCCTTGGGTGGGTGGACGCATTGAAGCAAGGGGCTGCTGGGGACAGCCTCCTGCACCCTCTCCCGGGACCCAGCAGGTGCCCCCAGCCCTGGCCACATCTGGATTCCAGCTGGCAGCTCCAGGGCCCAGGAGGAGGGGGAGAAGTCCCCCCCAGGAACTTGCCATCAAAGGCCAGAAAGAATTGGAGGGTGGGGCCACAAAGGCACAGCCCAGCCGGGGGCCAGGGCCTGCTGAAGGCGCCATGTGTGTGGCCTCGTATAAGACCAGCCCAGTGGGCAACCTTCCTCCAGGCCATGGGCAGCTAGGAGTCCTACTGCCCTTGTCCTCAGGAAAGCAGAGGGTGACGACTGTCCCGTGACTGTGATCAACAACAGAACCATGTGTGTGAAAGCTGGGCCTGTGTGCTAGCACCCCGTGGGGAACCCCACTCCTCCAGCTTGTGGGGCATCTGATCTCTCGCTACATATGTACTTTTGTTCTCTGTTTATCTTGTGGTACTGAGGATTGAACTCAAGTACTTCCCACTGAGCTATATCCCCAGCTCAGTTTTTAATTTTGGGACAGGGTCTTGGTATGTTGCCTAGGCTGGGATTGAACTTGGGATCCTCCTGCCTCAGCCTCCCAGAGAGCTGGGATTACAAATATATGCCACTGTACCCAGCTAATCTCTCTTTCACACACCATTCTTCCTCTTCAGCCTCCAACACCTGGCTGATGTCACCACCCACCCCAGGAAGTTGCCTCTAGCCCATGAGCAACCCGCAGTAAAGGCTTGTCTCTCCTCCCTCCAGGAGACGGTGAGACTCAGGACAGATTCAAGGTTTATTACGCTGGTGTCTTATATCTCAGCACCTGAGAGCTGCACAGAGGTGCGGGGAGCCCCACACAGAGGACTGGGGTAGAAACCTCACTAGGGACCCCCCCCCAAAGAGGACAGAGCCCAGGCTCCCTGTCAAGGACGGAAGGACGCTTTGGACACAGGCTGCCAGACCTCATGTGCGAGCAAAGGGCCAGTGGCCAGCACCCCCTGCTCCAGGCTGGGTGTCAGAAACCAGAATGGGGGTCCCCTCGAATGCAGCCCCCAGTTTACAGGCTGCTTTGAGGGTCTGACAGATAGAGAGGGTTCAATCCGGAAACCACAGGGGGTGAGAAACTCAACCCCAGGTGGGGGTGTCTTGGGTCACGAAATCCCTATACCTCACGCCCCAACTCTTAACCAACCACAACTTGGGGGCACCTTTAGGAAAATCAGAGCAATATTTTCCAGAGTGGATTTTGAAGGATTTGACCTTACAGCTGTTTCAAAAGGAGGGGCTCTGGGGATTCAGCTCAGTGGTAGAGATCTTGACTAGCAGGCGGGAGGCCCTGAGTTCCTTCCCTAGGACAACCAAAAGCAAAAAACATAAGCTTTGGATAGGCCAAGCAAAACCCCAAACCTAACCCAACAGAAGCCTTTACTGTAGGGCTCTCAGGGCCTTGGGGAATAAGGGAGCAGGGTTGGGGTGGGGAGGCAGCTGGAGTGGCCTCACTTCAACTCACCCTGAAATCCTGTTTTCATGGAGTGATTTAGGGAGCCCTGTCTGGGAAACACTCACTCAGGGCCCCGTCTCAAGAGACAGATATAGGGGTCCCTCCCAGAAGCTGCTAAATAACCAGGTCCACTTCGGCAGCGTCGGCACTGAGCAGAGGCACAGTGACCCTAAAATATCCAGGATCAGGGAGATTCAAAGAACCGGTGCACTGCAGGCTGCTTCTGCCTTGCCAGCCCCAGGTACCCCAGAACGCCCACCTGATCACTCCCCAAATTCCTAGATCGTCTATTTTTCTTTGCTGCCTCCATGAAAAAACAGCGATACTTGCTTCCTTCTGGCTGTATTTCCCACCCCGTGTGGCTGATGTCGTGGCTGTTTGCTCACGGCCCTCGTGGCACACAGCTGTCCTCCAGCTCCCCTGAGCGCCGCTGGAACTCGGGGGGATTCCTGGGTGGATGCCACAGACCAGCTCTTCGGGCCTCTGCAGAACAGGTGTTGGGGCTGGCACAGAGGGGCGCCAGGGAGACATGGGGGCTGAAGGCCTTTTCAGGCCCAAGGAAGCGACCCCTGGGGCCCAACAGTCAAGGCCAGCTGCTCTGGGGCCTGTTAGACGCTGGGGGAGACACTGCTGCATGCACAGGGACTTTCCGGGGGACCTGCTGGTCCCTGGGCTTCCTGGGTTGAAGAGAAAGACCCTTCGGGCTCCTCTTGGCCCCTGCTGGCTGTCAGAGCCCCCTCAGCCACGGCTGAGCACGACACCCCGAGGACTTCTGGTTGCTCCTCGGGGACCCCACACCCCTCGGCTTCAGAGGCCATCTCCTGGCTGCCCTGTACCCCTTCCTCCGCCCTGCTGTCTGCCAGCTGGGCACCCTCCCCACCGCTGCCCAGGGCAGCCCTGGAGGGAGACTTGAGGTTCTGGGTGGCGGCTAGGATGTCAGCCTGCAGCTGCTGGGAGGAATCCAGAGCCTCCTCCGGCAGGCTGTCGGGAGCCCTGTCGGGGACCTCACTGAACACCCGGGGGCCCCCGGCCTGGTCGCTCTGGTCCACGTACTTCTTCTTGGGGAAGGATGATGGGTAGTAGGCCGTGGCCTTGTGCTTCTGGCGGGTGATGAGCGCGGCACAGACGATAAACATCAGCAGGAAGGCCAGCGAGCCCACCACGGCAATGAGCATCACGTACTGGTGGAAGAAATCCACGATGCCCTCCAGGAGGTTGGTGGGGTGCACCGGGCCCTCCGGGGGCGTGGGCTGGGGTCCCACGGATGTGGGGCTGAGGGCTGGGGTCCAGGTCGGCAGGAGGCTTGGGGAAGAAGCCGACGAGCCCTCTGCGTCCCCGCTGCCCCCCATGTCCTCCAGGAAGGCGGCAGGCAGGGACACGGAGAAGGCCTGCAGGGGCACGGGCTGCAGGAGCAGCAGCAGGGAAAGGAGGAGGCTGGAGCCCACTGCAGAGACCATGGTGTCCCGGGACCTGTAGGGAGAGGAGGAAAGGCAGAAGTCAGAGGGTGTCCAGGGTCTCCGGACTCCGGAACGGGGCTCACAGGAGGACAGCAGCACAGAACGAATCCCAGCAAGTGCTGCCTGTTCCCCCAGGCAAGCAAGGCCCCTGCCCTACCTCAGCCCGGCTGGCTCAGGCCCGGGGTGCACACTGCGCCCTCTTCCCTCTGAGCTCCAGGACAGCGGGGCCAAACCTGACTCACCGCAGCACCTTCGGGGTTTGCCCTGTCTTTGGTACACAGTACGTGCTCAGTACCTGTATCCGAACTGACAGCTTAGCTTTCACGGCATTCCATGTGCCAGCTGCTGTGGTAAGTTTGTTTGTTTGTTTGTTTGTTTGTTTTCTTTCTTTTCTGGGAAGGGGACTGAGGTAGGATCTTGCTGTGCAGTTCAAGCTAGGCTTAAGCACACGTGGCTCAGGCTGGCCTCAAACTCACTGGTGTCCCACTGCCTCAGCCTCCCAAGCACTGGGGTTATAGGCACGAATCCCGATTCTCAGTGGGAGAGGTGTCCTGGGGTGATCCCCATACTTTCGGTGAGGAAACTGAGGCTCACAGTCACTAATCAAGGAAGAGCTGGGGTTGGATCTGGGCCCGAGGGGAGGGGCGGAGGTGGGGCTGCGTCGCTGAGGCCTCGAGGGTATGACAGCGCTGCCCTGCCCTGTGCGAGGCCTCAACTCTGTGCACAGAGCGGCTGCAGTAGCTCCAAGGCCACATCCCAGCTTCTCAGCCAGAGGCTTTCTCAAACCTCCCCGCCAGCCCTAGCCAATACCCCTCTGCAGGGCTTTCTCAGTGTCTGAGCTCTGCAGGGGGCCTGGATGCCAGCATCAGCTCCCACAGCTGCCCCTCCCCTCCAGGCTCCAAGCAGGCCCAGGAGGGCCCCCCCCCCGAACCCCTGTGCTGAGACAAAGCCATAACTGCCGCCCTGCACCACCACTGACACCGACCGCCACTGCTAGATGGGAACCAGATGAGCCCAAGCCTCCCTCTCCCTCCTCCCCGCTGGAAGGCTGCTCCCTGCCTGAACCCCCAGACCCCATCTGGCCCAGACAGGCCGGCTGATTAATAAATTCCTCGTGGCCCAAATTTATGGCAGAGCTGGTTTCTAGAACACAAACTCTCCTAACTGATGTGAGAGGCCGCCTTCCTCCAAAGCTGGCCAGGTTATTTATGGACACCAAGAAAAGCTTCAGGGTCCCCCCTTGGGGTCTGAGGTGGGCAGACAGCCGGGACGAGGGGTAGACGCAGGACACACATCAAGTTCCCAGGCTGCAGGAGGAGCTGAGGCTCCCGGAGCCTCGACCGCTGCTCCTGCTCAGTGATACAGGTGACAGGCCAGCCCCTCGGGTGGCAGCGAAGACCCAGGAGATGAGCTGGCAGAAGCTGGGCGTTCAATGGCTTGTGCCAGGTGACCTGAGGTCCCCCAGTTTCTGTGCTTTAGTTGCTCAGTGTCAGTGAAGGATTAGACCCCGGATCCCCTTCCAAGGACGAGAAAATCTGAGGATGCTGAAGTCCTTTAAATAAAATGGTGTGGGATTTGTGTGGAACCTACACAATCCTCCCATGTTTTCGCTGTTTTGTTTTGCTTTTGAGACAGGATCTCACTATATATATATAGTTCAGGCTGGCCTTGAACTCACTATGTAGCCCAGGCTGGCCTCAAACCCACCATTACCCTCCTGCCTCAGCCTCCTGAGTGTGAGAATAACAGGCATGCACCACCACACCTCCAGGCTTCTCCCATGTATTTTAAATCATGTTTAGATTTACTATACCTCATACAACGTAAAAGCCACATAAATGCTATTGTAATGTATTTTTTTATTGCTATACTGCTTTGTTTTAATATTTTCTATCTGCAGTTGTTAAATCTGTGACTAGAGAAGCCAAGAAGTCATAGGGCTGTTTGCACTGATACAAATTTGCTCAAACCATCTCGGAGGGCAAAAACATTTTTGCCTGTGCTAGGCGCTGAACCCAGGACCTTATGAGCACTCAGCAAAAGCTCCTCCACCCGGCTGCACCCCAGCCCCCGGGGACCTCACTGGAGACATTTACGACCTCATTGGAACCTCTTCCCAGATTCCACAGGTGCCACGGCCAATGACCTGCCCAAGGACACACAGAGGGCTGGCGACAGAGCTGGGATTTCAACTCTCCCATCTGACTCGGGGAGTCCACACTCACACACACACACACACACACACACTCACCGCACACCCACGGTGGGCCAGGAAAGGGTCCACACTCCCGCAGGCGTCGCTTCCCAGCTGGAAGGAGCAGCGTGCGGCGCTAAGTGAGGCACCAGGAGCCCCTCCTCTCTGTGCCTGCTGAACCCCACTCACCCCTGCCCGATGGAGTCAAACCCTGAGAGATCTCCAGTGGTGGCACGACCGGCAGAGGCTGAGCCCCGGGGGAGTCACGAGGTGGCTGGGAAGCGGGTTGGGCAGGTCAGCACCCTGCCTCCCTCGTGCCTAGCTCTGCCTTCTGTCTTCTCAGAGCCTCTTTCCCCACCTGATAATGGGCAGCAGTGTGTGAGTGCGTGTGTGTGTGCGTGTGTGCACATGTGTGTGAGCGCGTGTGTGGCAGTGGTGGTGTAACCACAGACCGAGCCTGCAGAGCTGTCAGGATCGCATGAGATGACATTTTGAAAGTACCCGGCACAGGGTGGCAGCTTCCTCAGGAAAGGTGGGATTCAGGAGCAGAAAGCTCCAGGAGCAGCTGGCAAGTTCCCCTCCTACAGCAGCAAATGACTGTCTTCATTTGCCAGTGTCTTCCCCACTTCCCAGGAAAACAAAAAGAAACAAACAAACCAAAAAACACAACTTTTTTAATCCATCGAGTGAAACTTCCTCAGCTCTGGTCACAGGAAGGCAGGACCAACAGAGATGAACACACATGCACACACAAAATGAGTCAGAAAAAAGGAGTTAAGTAGAGGACAAAGACAAGGAAGGAGGCTATACAAACTATCACTGGCTCTTAAAGGCTTAGACCCCAACTCTAGAGCGCCCTGCCCCCCTCAGCCCACCCCAACTCCCCGACAGGGGAGGGCAGGGACGTAGCTCCATGTGGAACCAGCCAGGCCCGGTGGCCGCTGGCTGTGTGACCCTGGGTGGGGCGCTGCCCTCTCTGGATCTTGGTTTCCCATCGGCAGAGTGGGAGAACCGTCCCGGGCAGCTGCCCTCCAGTTCCCACACCTCCTCTTGAGAGGGGGCCGAGCGTTTGGGTCCTGCTTTCAGAGGGGCTTGGACCCTCGAGTCACTAGGAGCTGGGACAAGGCCTGGCTCCGGCGCTTCTCCCCAAGAGAAAATGCAGGCTCAGAGACGGTACGGCTACCCAAGGGAGCACAGCACCCAGGGCTCAGTCCAGCAGAACCCTGAATACAGAGGAGGCTGGGAAGGTCCAGGAGTCGCTGGGCCGCACAGGCCGCCTCTCTGAGCTCCAGGGGAAATCCACACACACAAGCCGAGGCAGTGCCTGGTGCTCAGTGGGGCCAGGGAGAGGGGACCCTCTCACTCGGGTTAGCTGCTTTAAGATGATGATGCCACCTACTTGTGGTCGTGATTATGCAAACAATGCGAATTCCCCCCAGGGCCTGGGTACCCCGAGAACTGAGGCTGAGGGTCCAGAGCTGCTGCCCCACCCCCACCCAGAGACTGGCAGCCAGAGGGGGAGGGGCGCCCACAGAAACCTGGCTTCAATTAGTGGTCTGGGGGGAGGGGGCCAGGCGAGGACAGGGAGCTGGGCCCCTTGGAGGAGAAGTCTTCGAGGGAAGGGGTTCCCCGGGGCTCAGAACTCACACAGACGTAGGGCACCAGCACACGGACTCGGTACAGCACAGTCCCCCCTACACGGACCACAAACGCAAACACGCAACGCGTGTATCTCTCATCCCCGACACAGGACAGGGCTGTCCGAGGCACCTTCACCCCGAGCCTGGAAGCAGCACCGGTGACTGTCCACATCCAGAGAAGGCACCCACACCCGTCCCACCCAGCCCAGCAGCCACTCAGGGCTCCCAGGACCCTCCACCGCCAGCCTGCACACACTTGGGCACACACAGGCTCAGAGACTCCTGAAGAGTGTTCCACAGTCCCTGTCCCCGAGCTCCGAGCCAGACTGACCGAGCTCTGGGAATGGGGACTCCTCCCCTGGGAACTTACTAGTTCCGCTGCAGGGCTGGGCGCTCCCCGGGTGGATGAGACGGGCACCCGGCCGGCAGCCTGGGAGTCCCCGCCGCCGGTGCT